AAACCACTACAAAGTTTAATGAGCAAGCTGAGAAACCCATTAATAATGAAGTATAAAAATTGTGGGGGTTTCACATTCTGGACTAACTATTTGATAGAAAAATTATCTGTATTATGTGTGTGTTCCGGAGAGTAGATCTTTTGTATGAAAACGTGGCTACGAGGTGAAAATATAACAAATTAGTACATTAATGAGACTTATTTTAAAACTTCCTAAGAATACTGGTTATGCTATCAGTAGCAAAATAAGGTATTCAGTGAACTTAAAGCATTATGACTGCATTGAACTGAATAACTCCGCCGTCATATATGTTATGATGACGCTCATTTAACGTGAATAAAGCTGATCCCCTTCACCAAATATGTTGTAATGGAGTGCTGTGATTTGTTGATTTCAGTCTGACTTGACTAGAATGGGCTTCCAGTCACGACACTGTAGGCACTAACTACTTGGAAATATTCCTCACACTAAGTGGACACACAGAAGTCAGATGAAACTGAGGTAACTGGGACAACAACAACGACAACATATCGCCACTTGGTTGGTAAATTGCTGTTTATTGTAATAAAAATGCTATATACATCAGAGTAGAGCCAGAAATGAGGATATAACTGAAAAGTAAATATTTCTTCGTTCAATCCTTTTGCTTTCTAACTTTATTATTCGCAATACAGAGTATATTATGTCGTTTATACGTCCAGGGAAATTTAAACCATATATAATCAGTATCTGACTGATTGCGTCAGTCATGACTTCACGGCTATCAGCAATTTGCTTTCCGTTCTAACAGAAAGAATACAATAGATAATCCGAAGGTATTAAAGACACTATGAAAAAGAGCAAAAATATATGGACCTATGATCTCATGTGATGTTTTTAAATTCCATTAATTAATTTCATGGAAAAGTAATGGGAGTTATAAGCAGGTCATATGACTTGTTCATTATTTATGATATATTTTAATCTGCTGACAATACTTGTTATAAAAAAGAACTTGAAAAAAATAAAAACTGGTTTGGTTAATCAAGAAAATTTAAGTATTCGCCTGCAATGTGACCTGCTCATGTTTATTTTATTTAGTAAAATAACCAGTTAACAACTCGATAAAATAGTAAAACGTTCGAACACATTTGAAGTACATTTTTTAAAATCAGAACATTTTCTTTATGTAGTTACTAACAGCAACTGTTTGTGTATTAACCACCATACAGTTTGAGTACATGTAGGACTGATCAGACTTTAAATTCTGATTCGATATCTATATCGTATTTAAAGATTATCTGAAGGGCAATCCTAAACTCAATCTCTATCCTGAGCCAATTTTTAAATCTATATATGACTGATATCTGGTGACTTGTAGTTGATTCTTTTCCCTATTTTTGTTGGGTTGGATGAAAATGTGCTGTAAAAGTTTTCATTATCATTCCAAAGCAAATATATTATACATTATTTTAGCACACTGGAAACTCTGAAGACATTTCTCGATGGTTTGAAATGTATTCGTGTTTTTTAATTTTTTGTTCATGGAAGTTCCATATCGACCATTTGCATTGTATAGGTCATTAGGACACGTTTTATTCACGTGTTAAAAGTGGTCCTTGTCTACATTTGACTACTAAGATGCCAGATACTGCAGGCTTGTGAAATTCACATCACTTCAACAAATTCAACTGAAACTTCGAGGAAATTTATAAAATTGACATATTCGTGTTATATAGGCTTCACTCCAGTAGACTAACTTTGTACCCAAACTTAAACAATATCAATATCATGTCAGATAATTAGAACTTTACACTGAAAGTTCAGGTGGAGAGGCTTTTTTCAAAACACTGACCTAACAAGAGACTGCATCTATAATTACCTAAAAAATAATGAATTCAATGACAGCTGTATAAGCCTTAACATTTAGTGAAGAACTATGGGTAGTCAGAAAGTTATTGTACTCAGATTCTTTTCATTTCTATGCATTTCGAGGAATTCGTAGGTCTTCGAGATTCATAGTTTCAGTAGGAGTGGTTTTGTTCTTTAGAAGTGTATTTTTTAACCTCAGACTCAACCTACCTCTTCCGTGGTTACTAATGGCTGGTGAACCAGGTGAAGTTTGAGAGTGCGTCGGATGGGATGACCTCTAACGTGGCTGGTGGGCATTCAACCTCTGGACCACTGATGTAATATATATATATATATATATATATATTTTCGTGATCAGCTTTGTAACATAGTGAGGCAGTGAACTTTTTGTTTACTTCACTCACGTCTTAAATGGAATGTTTTAATCATTATGGTCTTATCTTTCTAGAAAAGTATTAATTCATACAAAATAATCGAAAGAACATGGTAGCTGTAAAAGGATCGGTTTTTATCATGATAATAACCATAATTTCATTGATTTCGAGGACGTCAAGGATTTACTAACAGAATAAGCCTATAGGGCGATATTTCTCAAGTTAAATTTGTTGACAATAACATGGTGTTGTTCCTGAATCACGAACGAATTGACTTCAATGAAACTATAACTCATAATCAATAAATAGCAGCTAAGTATGCAATGAATTCGATAAACTGAAAATATCAAAATATTTATTTTACTCGTTATAAATATACATAGACAACATTAAAAGTACACTAGAGCTGTCTAATAACAACCGTTTCGTGAACGCACTAAATCACAATCAAGCGATAGTTATGAGTCAATTTCTCATCTCTTGCTTAAATCATATTTACATGTAGATACTTTACTAATTTTCAACAACTATTGGATTGTTTGTGAAATTATGTTTTCTAGTTAGCGCTTGTCAGAATTAAGCGAAACCTCCGTATTTAGGAGGTGTAATTTAGTACCACTCGATACCATTATTTACGCATCACGCTTAGCTTTCCAATATCTAGTACCACGATTTCATATTTATCTGTAACACTTATATTAAAAATAGTGTACAGTACATTGTTGGTAAGGTAAAATGGAATGAAATAAATGTACATGCAAAAGGACATCATTTTCTAAGGACATCAGTGACAGTTCAACTGATGTTTCCTCTTTCCTACATTCCAGTGGACAAACCAAATTTGTAACGCCTATTAAATGGGCATACAAAATCAAGACTTTTACTAGCTTACAATAAGATAGGGTGGATTTAATAAAATAGATGATAGAATTTAAGTATAAGCTTCATTCTGCCTAAAATTCATTCGGACTCGAGAATTCGAAAATCATTCAGACACTTAATAATTCACTTACCTGATTCACAACTTTTATGAAAATAGCACCGCTGATGAGAATACACTAAATTTCAATCAACAGACAACGCAAACAAAGACATTCTTCTGTATACAGGTTTGTTCACTAATGCAAGATTTAGGTACACACAAATTGAAGATGAAACGTCTTTCTTACTAAAAAGGAACTGTTAACTTCTGTTCATTATGTCTCTGAGAAACCTAACTATGACAAATAATCTACCCACATTTCCTTGTGTGTGTGTGTGTCGGTGGCAAAGCTGTTAGGACTCTCACCGACTATGTACATGGTCTGGGGTTCGACTCCCTGCCGATGCACACTTGATATCTATGGTTGACCTGCAAAATTTGGGCTACCGATATCCATGCTGAAAATTCCATACTTGTATCAAAATTACTGTGTGGTTTCAAGCTATAATCAAAAATTAAATGAGGATCCCTTTACACTATTCGCAGCTGAAGTGAGTTGGTTTACTTCTTATTAGTGTCATATTTACTTTACAATCTTGTCACCTGCTAGCGACACAAACCATACACAAATTTTTGGTGACCCGAGTATCATAAGGTTAGATACTAACTACCTGAAAGTGAATTCATATTCATTTAACAACACTTCCCAAATCCAACATGAATTTATAAATTCTGGTAGATAATAACCTAAGAGTAAGTGTGAATCTCAGTTTACAACTACATACCAGCTTCTGAAGAATACAGAACAGTTTGGTTCCATTTAATTTCAGAACCATAAAATAACACTAGGCATTTAGAGGGAAATATTCTAAATTTACTACACAAGTAGAACCTAGAAACCTACAATAACTGTATTAATTTTCAAATAAGTTCAGATTATTCTTTATAGGTTTTTCTTCATGCTTCAAAACAAGACACTTTGTGTTCGTGAACACATTTCTATAGTTCTCTTAACTTGGTGATGATGAATTTTAAAGCAGCATAGTTTTCATAATAAAACTTCAGTCATCAAGTTAGCTAACTGCTTTCAACTAATATTGCCAACACAGTTATTTCCCTAAGACACCAAACTACTTTCAATATAGACCTTTTATTTTTTTTCACGTGACATCTGGATGGACCCCACTGGTCACGACTGCTCACTGGAACTCCAGGAAACTCCATCCTGTAGTAAGTCACTAGCGAGCATCAGATTAATTTTCTATAGTTTGTTTTGTAAGGGTTAGTTATGTTTTTACGGGTTGATCACGGATTGATATCAGTTAGAGAACCATCGAAAATCAGGGAGTACTGAACAGCTGTTTCATCCTAGTTTAGGGATCATCGGTAGTACGCACCCACTGGGATGCGAACCCACTGATCACCACCAGTGAGGTCCATCAAGATGTCACGTGTGAGGATGGATGTCCCACCAACGACAGTCGTTGGGGTCCCGCTAAATCATGAATTCGTAGAAGTAAGAATTCATGAGCCATTGAATCGGGTCCCAGTGGCTGAATGGTATACGAGATTTCCGTGTAATCGGAGGGTTCTGGGGTCGAATCCCAGTGGGTGCTTACTGACGACGATTCCCAAACTAGGATGAAACAGCAGCTGTTTAGTACTCTCTGTTTTTCAATTGTTCTCTAGCCGATATCAATCCGTCCGTGATCAACTCGTAAAAACATAACTAACTATTACGAACCAAACTATAGGAAAACAGATCTTTTATATTCATAATTGTGTTAAAAGATGATTTTAATATTCATTCTTATTTTTCCATAACTCAAATCGATTGTCTTATATTTTCCCAGTTGATAAAATATTGTGTGACAAGATTGCACAGAAGATTTGTTGATTATCTTGGTATCCATCGGATCAAGAAACATAGATTTGCAATAATTGGTAAACTTCAATACTCTGACTCTATCCTACTGTGTGTGAATACATACGTCATGATTGTCGAACCTATGTCTAGAATACGTAACCCAGTTGAGTATATCACTGTGCATTTAGTTCAATTCTTGTGTTCTGATAAACTGACTCTGATCTGTTTGTCTGACTTATTCCTTCGGCCTCACGGTTACCACACGGCATTTGATAGATTATATTATTATTTCTAAGTGAGTTGATTGGATCTTTAAACTGACATAGTTTGTTTACGACTTCACTGCTATGTTTAAATGCCTTAAAATTATCCCATAATGAAAGACCCTCTATAACTACGTTCATTTGTATTACTATAATTTAACTCTGGTGGATTGCTACGGGTAGTTAAACTGATATATTGAACAACTGCTAAACTTCTAAGCATGAATATGCAGTGTATTCCACTTTAAACCAAATATTTTACTAACTCATCAAAATTTTATTTGGGGACATTTTAATGTCTTTAAACCATATCATTAAGGGAGTTCAAACCAAATTGTATAGAGTACTTGAGAAACTATCATCTTGAATTATTTTTTCGACCAATCTGCTTGCATTCATTTAGTAGGGGTATTTGGAATGACCACCTATATCTTACTATACCACCCACACAAATCTTAATTGTTAGCAAGAGAAATGTCAAGTTGATTTGCAACCCTGTGATGAATGAGTGTCTTACTAACAATGTAGTAAACTTCAAACATTTGTAGTTTAACCATAGATTGCAACACTCCTTCACAGTATTATTCTAGTTACGCCCACACTTTTACCTATTGGCCAGAAAAAGAAATAAAAAGCAAATCTCAATTTTGTAGGTTAGATTGCTTTGTTAGGATCTCATCGGTAATATTTTTCGTTGCTGGTTGCCTCTACTGTGTTCATTTTGTTTTTTGTATATTTGTCCACAGATTTATCCTACTATCTCAAACCAAAATGGTCACGTAAGTGAAATCTGTTCACTGATTCTATTTTCGACATTTTCGTTAGTGGGGTAGCCCGTAAAATATATTCAATGTATTTTTTAACTTCAGCCGCGCCGAAGCAGAACAACTTCTGAAATTCCTTGACAAAGATAATAGTGGTAAGATCAGCACGCAAGAACTGCTGGAGTTTCTCAAGCAAGCAAACTGTCCACTGAACACGGCCCAAGTGCAGAAGTTTATCCGTGAGCACGACAAGGATGGGGATGGACAACTAAGTCTTGATGAGCTGTTAAAAATTTTAAATTGAAGCTTACAGTTGAAATGTTTTATTTGGTAATAAAGATTATATCTATGTTTTAATCCCTGGCATTTTACATATGACATGGGTGGTGGGTTGCGATTTAACTTCTTAATTCTGACTAGGCATATTAAATCAAACTTCATATTCGTTACTCATATAGTGTCGTAATTCGTTTGGAGTGTTACCTTATGCTACTCTAGCCCTTTTTAGAAAAGATATCAAAATCACTAGATATAACTGAAAAGCATGAGACATGGGGTATTTGATAGTGAACCTTTCAGTTAATCTTTCTATAGGAAACAGAAACTAACATAGTCAGAAGTGCAGAAACGGTCGCAAAATTGTATTTTAAGCTTAGAGGATATCCGAAGTTTTCGAGAAATAAGCTGGTTTTATACACTGGACGTCCATTGGCAATCTCTGACTTATAAGCTATTCAGGAGTTGATAAGTAGTCAGAATGCTATTACTAAGAAGTTTCAGAAAGTTTGGTCCACAATTATCTATATGTCATTTTTAAGACCAGTGCTTATTTATACCTTGTTCATGCAGTGGAATTGGTTTTGTGGGATGAATTGTATTTATCATGAATCGCGATATGAAATGTGGAGTTATGCTGCATAATACCATATTCATTGTTCACTAATACTATCCGATCATTATTTATTTTACTTTACCACTAAGCGCCTGTTATGAAATTTTTCCTTGAATGTCTATAGAAAAATAGTTTATTGATACGTCCAAGATGATACAAGACATTCACTACCGAAACAGCTTTTTTTAGCTTAATCACATTTAAGAACTGTTTTCAGTAAAAGACAGTTTGTTATCCACCATATTTCTCAAACTGGTAATTTTGTTTGAATTCAGAGCATTACTTAACTGTTAGAATGAATTGGCCCACTATTCAAAGCTAAAATCCTGCTTTTATCGTTAACCACTGGTACTGTCACAGTAAGCCATTACAAATCAATACATAGTTAAACCGAGTTTGGCTAGCAGTTCACAGAACCGATTTCCATCAAACCAAAGGTTTTGTATTACCTGTATTCATCAACTATAACATCAACAGCAACTTTCTAATTCAAGGCTAACTCGGATGTTGATGTTTAAATAACAAGTATAGGTTCTGTAGGGATTTTTGTTTGATTGCATGGAGGATTTCATCTTTTTTTCACCAGAACTAATTATTTACTGTGTTTTAACTTTGTGCTGCCACTTAATGTCGTTGTACTTAACCCAACTGGTTGGTTTTTAGTCGACTGAATTAGAAGTGTTTGTGACTGTTCACTTAGGGCTGACTTACTATACATCATAAAAGTCCCACAGCAAATTAACAAAAGACTCCTATTTGGTATTAGTATGGCATATTAATAAACAAAACCACTACAAAGTTTAATGAGCAAGCTGAGAAACCCATTAATAATGAAGTATAAAAATTGTGGGGTTTCACATTCTGGACTAACTATTTGATAGAAAAATTATCTGTATTATGTGTGTGTTCCGGAGAGTAGATCTTTTGTATGAAAACGTGGCTACGAGGTGAAAATATAACAAATTAGTACATTAATGAGACTTATTTTAAAACTTCCTAAGAATACTGGTTATGCTATCAGTAGCAAAATAAGGTATTCAGTGAACTTAAAGCATTATGACTGCATTGAACTGAATAACTCCGCCGTCATATATGTTATGATGACGCTCATTTAACGTGAATAAAGCTGATCCCCTTCACCAAATATGTTGTAATGGAGTGCTGTGATTTGTTGATTTCAGTCTGACTTGACTAGAATGGGCTTCCAGTCACGACACTGTAGGCACTAACTACTTGGAAATATTCCTCACACTAAGTGGACACACAGAAGTCAGATGAAACTGAGGTAACTGGGACAACAACAACGACAACATATCGCCACTTGGTTGGTAAATTGCTGTTTATTGTAATAAAAATGCTATATACATCAGAGTAGAGTCAGAAATGAGGATATAACTGAAAAGTAAATATTTCTTCGTTCAATCCTTTTGCTTTCTAACTTTATTATTCGCAATACAGAGTATATTATGTCGTTTATACGTCCAGGGAAATTTAAACCATATATAATCAGTATCTGACTGATTGCGTCAGTCATGACTTCACGGCTATCAGCAATTTGCTTTCCGTTCTAACAGAAAGAATACAATAGATAATCCGAAGGTATTAAAGACACTATGAAAAAGAGCAAAAATATATGGACCTATGATCTCATGTGATGTTTTTAAATTCCATTAATTAATTTCATGGAAAAGTAATGGGAGTTATAAGCAGGTCATATGACTTGTTCATTATTTATGATATATTTTAATCTGCTGACAATACTTGTTATAAAAAAGAACTTGAAAAAAATAAAAACTGGTTTGGTTAATCAGAAAATTTAAGCATTTGCCTGCAATGTGACCTGCTCATGTTTATTTTATTTAGTAAAATAACCAGTTAACAACTCGATAAAATAGTAAAACGTTCGAACACATTTGAAGTACATTTTTTAAAATCAGAACATTTTCTTTATGTAGTTACTAACAGCAACTGTTTGTGTATTAACCACCATACAGTTTGAGTACATGTAGGACTGATCAGACTTTAAATTCTGATTCGATATCTATATCGTATTTAAAGATTATCTGAAGGGCAATCCTAAACTCAATCTCTATCCTGAGCCAATTTATAAATCTATATATGACTGATATCTGGTGACTTGTAGTTGATTCTTTTCCCTATTTTTGTTGGGTTGGATGAAAATGTGCTGTAAAAGTTTTCATTATCATTCCAAAGCAAATATATTATACATTATTTTAGCACACTGGAAACTCTGAAGACATTTATCGATGGTTTGAAATGTATTCGTGTTTTTTAATTTTTTGTTCATGGAAGTTCCATATCGACCATTTGCATTGTATAGGTCATTAGGACACGTTTTATTCACGTGTTAAAAGTGGTCCTTGTCTACATTCGACTACTAAGATGCCAGAACTGCAGGCTTGTGAAATTCACATCACTTCAACAAATTCAACTGAAACTTCGAGGAAATTTATAAAATTGACATATTCGTGTTATATAGGCTTCACTCCAGTAGACTAACTTTGTACCCAAACTTAAACAATATCAATATCATGTCAGATAATTAGAACTTTACACTGAAAGTTCAGGTGGAGAGGCTTTTTTCAAAACACTGACCTAACAAGAGACTGCATTATAATTACCTAAAAAATAATGAATTCAATGACAGCTGTATAAGCCTTAACATTTAGTGAAGAACTATGGGTAGTCAGAAAGTTATTGTACTCAGATTCTTTTCATTTCTATGCATTTCGAGGAATTCGTAGGTCTTCGAGATTCATAGTTTCAGTAGGAGTGGTTTTGTTCTTTAGAAGTGTATTTTTTAACCTCAGACTCAACCTACCTCTTCCGTGGTTACTAATGGCTGGTGAACCAGGTGAAGTTTGAGAGTGCGTCGGATGGGATGACCTCTAACGTGGCTGGTGGGCATTCAACCTCTGGACCACTGATGTAATATATATATATATATATATATATTTTCGTGATCAGCTTTGTAACATAGTGAGGCAGTGAACTTTTTGTTTACTTCACTCACGTCTTAAATGGAATGTTTTAATCATTATGGTCTTATCTTTCTAGAAAAGTATTAATTCATACAAAATAATCGAAAGAACATGGTAGCTGTAAAAGGATCGGTTTTTATCATGATAATAACCATAATTTCATTGATTTCGAGGACGTCAAGGATTTACTAACAGAATAAGCCTATAGGGCGATATTTCTCAAGTTAAATTTGTTGACAATAACATGGTGTTGTTCCTGAATCACGAACGAATTGACTTCAATGAAACTATAACTCATAATCAATAAATAGCAGCTAAGTATGCAATGAATTCGATAAACTGAAAATATCAAAATATTTATTTTACTCGTTATAAATATACATAGACAACATTAAAAGTACACTAGAGCTGTCTAATAACAACCGTTTCGTGAACGCACTAAATCACAATCAAGCGATAGTTATGAGTCAATTTCTCATCTCTTGCTTAAATCATATTTACATGTAGATACTTTACTAATTTTCAACAACTATTGGATTGTTTGTGAAATTATGTTTTCTAGTTAGCGCTTGTCAGAATTAAGCGAAACCTCCGTATTTAGGAGGTGTAATTTAGTACCACTCGATACCATTGTTTACGCATCACGCTTAGCTTTCCAATATCTAGTACCACGATTTCATATTTATCTGTAACACTTATATTAAAAATAGTGTACAGTACATTGTTGGTAAGGTAAAATGGAATGAAATAAATGTACATGCAAAAGGACATCATTTTCTAAGGACATCAGTGACAGTTCAACTGATGTTTCCTCTTTCCTACATTCCAGTGGACAAACCAAATTTGTAACGCCTATTAAATGGGCATACAAAATCAAGACTTTTACTAGCTTACAATAAGATAGGGTGGATTTAATAAAATAGATGATAGAATTTAAGTATAAGCTTCATTCTGCCTAAAATTCATTCGGACTCGAGAATTCGAAAATCATTCAGACACTTAATAATTCACTTACCTGATTCACAACTTTTATGAAAATAGCACCGCTGATGAGAATACACTAAATTTCAATCAACAGACAACGCAAACAAAGACATTCTTCTGTATACAGGTTTGTTCACTAATGCAAGATTTAGGTACACACAAATTGAAGATGAAACGTCTTTCTTACTAAAAAGGAACTGTTAACTTCTGTTCATTATGTCTCTGAGAAACCTAACTATGACAAATAATCTACCCACATTTCCTTGTGTGTGTGTGTGTCGGTGGCAAAGCTGTTAGGACTCTCACCGACTATGTACATGGTCTGGGGTTCGACTCCCTGCCGATGCACACTTGATATCTATGGTTGACCTGCAAAATTTGGGCTACCGATATCCATGCTGAAAATTCCATACTTGTATCAAAATTACTGTGTGGTTTCAAGCTATAATCAAAAATTAAATGAGGATCCCTTTACACTATTCAGCAGCTGAAGTGAGTTGGTTTACTTCTTATTAGTGTCATATTTACTTTACAATCTTGTCACCTGCTAGCGACACAAACCATACACAAATTTTTGGTGACCCGAGTATCATAAGGTTAGATACTAACTACCTGAAAGTGAATTCATATTCATTTAACAACACTTCCCAAATCCAACATGAATTTATAAATTCTGGTAGATAATAACCTAAGAGTAAGTGTGAATCTCAGTTTACAACTACATACCAGCTTCTGAAGAATACAGAACAGTTTGGTTCCATTTAATTTCAGAACCATAAAATAACACTAGGCATTTAGAGGGAAATATTCTAAATTTACTACACAAGTAGAACCTAGAAACCTACAATAACTGTATTAATTTTCAAATAAGTTCAGATTATTCTTTATAGGTTTTTCTTCATGCTTCAAAACAAGACACTTTGTGTTCGTGAACACATTTCTATAGTTCTCTTAACTTGGTGATGATGAATTTTAAAGCAGCATAGTTTTCATAATAAAACTTCAGTCATCAAGTTAGCTAACTGCTTTCAACTAATATTGCCAACACAGTTATTTCCCTGAGACACCAAACTACTTTCAATATAGACCTTTTATTTTTTCTCACGTGACATCTGGATGGACCCCACTGGTCACGACTGCTCACTGGAACTCCAGGAAACTCCATCCTGTAGTAAGTCACTAGCGAGCATCAGATTAATTTTCTATAGTTTGTTTTGTAAGGGTTAGTTATGTTTTTACGGGTTGATCACGGATTGATATCAGTTAGAGAACCATCGAAAATCAGGGAGTACTGAACAGCTGTTTTATCCTAGTTTAGGGATCATCGGTAGTACGCACCCACTGGGATGCGAACCCACTGATCACCACCAGTGAGGTCCATCAAGATGTCACGTGTGAGGATGGATGTCCCACCAACGACAGTCGTTGGGGTCCCGCTAAATCATGAATTCGTAGAAGTAAGAATTCATGAGCCATTGAATCGGGTCCCAGTGGCTGAATGGTATACGAGATTTCCGTGTAATCGGAGGGTTCTGGGTTCGAATCCCAGTGGGTGCTTACTGACGACGATTCCCAAACTAGGATGAAACAGCAGCTGTTTAGTACTCTCTGTTTTTCAATTGTTCTCTAGCCGATATCAATCCGTCCGTGATCAACTCGTAAAAACATAACTAACTATTACGAACCAAACTATAGGAAAACAGATCTTTTATATTCATAATTGTGTTAAAAGATGATTTTAATATTCATTCTTATTTTTCCATAACTCAAATCGATTGTCTTATATTTTCCCAGTTGATAAAATATTGTGTGACAAGATTGCACAGAAGATTTGTTGATTATCTTGGTATCCATCGGATCAAGAAACATAGATTTGCAATAATTGGTAAACTTCAATACTCTGACTCTATCCTACTGTGTGTGAATACATACGTCATGATTGTCGAACCTATGTCTAGAATACGTAACCCAGTTGAGTATATCACTGTGCATTTAGTTCAATTCTTGTGTTCTGATAAACTGACTCTGATCTGTTTGTCTGACTTATTCCTTCGGCCTCACGGTTACCACACGGCATTTGATAGATTATATTATTATTTCTAAGTGAGTTGATTGGATCTTTAAACTGACATAGTTTGTTTACGACTTCACTGCTATGTTTAAATGCCTTAAAATTATCCCATAATGAAAGACCCTCTATAACTACGTTCATTTGTATTACTATAATTTAACTCTGGTGGATTGCTACGGGTAGTTAAACTGATATATTGAACAACTGCTAAACTTCTAAGCATGAATATGCAGTGTATTCCACTTTAAACCAAATATTTTACTAACTCATCAAAATTTTATTTGGGGACATTTTAATGTCTTTAAACCATATCATTAAGGGAGTTCAAACCAAATTGTATAGAGTACTTGAGAAACTATCATCTTGAATTATTTTTTCGACCAATCTGCTTGCATTCATTTAGTAGGGGTATTTGGAATGACCACCTATATCTTACTATACCACCCACACAAATCTTAATTGTTAGCAAGAGAAATGTCAAGTTGATTTGCAACCCTGTGATGAATGAGTGTCTTACTAACAATGTAGTAAACTTCAAACATTTGTAGTTTAACCATAGATTGCAACACTCCTTCACAGTATTATTCTAGTTACGCCCACACTTTTACCTATTGGCCAGAAAAAGAAATAAAAAGCAAATCTCAATTTTGTAGGTTAGATTGCTTTGTTAGGATCTCATCGGTAATATTTTTCGTTGCTGGTTGCCTCTACTGTGTTCATTTTGTTTTTTGTATATTTGTCCACAGATTTATCCTACTATCTCAAACCAAAATGGTCACGTAAGTGAAATCTGTTCACTGATTCTATTTTCGACATTTTCGTTAGTGGGGTAGCCCGTAAAATATATTCAATGTATTTTTTAACTTCAGCCGCGCCGAAGCAGAACAACTTCTGAAATTCCTTGACAAAGATAATAGTGGTAAGATCAGCACGCAAGAACTGCTGGAGTTTCTCAAGCAAGCAAACTGTCCACTGAACACGGCCCAAGTGCAGAAGTTTATCCGTGAGCACGACAAGGATGGGGATGGACAACTAAGTCTTGATGAGCTGTTAAAAATTTTAAATTGAAGCTTACAGTTGAAATGTTTTATTTGGTAATAAAGATTATATCTATGTTTTAATCCCTGGCATTTTACATATGACATGGGTGGTGGGTTGCGATTTAACTTCTTAATTCTGACTAGGCATATTAAATCAAACTTCATATTCGTTACTCATATAGTGTCGTAATTCGTTTGGAGTGTTACCTTATGCTACTCTAGCCCTTTTTAGAAAAGATATCAAAATCACTAGATATAACTGAAAAGCATGAGACATGGGGTATTTGATAGTGAACCTTTCAGTTAATCTTTCTATAGGAAACAGAAACTAACATAGTCAGAAGTGCAGAAACGGTCGCAAAATTGTATTTTAAGCTTAGAGGATATCCGAAGTTTTCGAGAAATAAGCTGGTTTTATACACTGGACGTCCATTGGCAATCTCTGACTTATAAGCTATTCAGGAGTTGATAAGTAGTCAGAATGCTATTACTAAGAAGTTTCAGAAAGTTTGGTCCACAATTATCTATATGTCATTTTTAAGACCAGTGCTTATTTATACCTTGTTCATGCAGTGGAATTGGTTTTGTGGGATGAATTGTATTTATCATGAATCGCGATATGAAATGTGGAGTTATGCTGCATAATACCATATTCATTGTTCACTAATACTATCCGATCATTATTTATTTTACTTTACCACTAAGCGCCTGTTATGAAATTTTTCCTTGAATGTCTATAGAAAAATAGTTTATTGATACGTCCAAGATGATACAAGACATTCACTACCGAAACAGCTTTTTTTAGCTTAATCACATTTAAGAACTGTTTTCAGTAAACGACAGTTTGTTATCCACCATATTTCTCAAACTGGTAATTTTGTTTGAATTCAGAGCATTACTTAACTGTTAGAATGAATTGGCCCACTATTCAAAGCTAAAATCCTGCTTTTATCGTTAACCACTGGTACTGTCACAGTAAGCCATTACAAATCAATACATAGTTAAACCGAGTTTGGCTAGCAGTTCACAGAACCGATTTCCATCAAACCAAAGGTTTTGTATTACCTGTATTCATCAACTATAACATCAACAGCAACTTTCTAATTCAAGGCTAACTCGGATGTTGATGTTTAAATAACAAGTATAGGTTCTGTAGGGATTTTTGTTTGATTGCATGGAGGATTTCAACTTTTTTTCACCAGAACTAATTATTTACTGTGTTTTAACTTTGTGCTGCCACTTAATGTCGTTGTACTTGACCCAACTGGTTGGTTTTTAGTCGACTGAATTAGAAGTGTTTGTGACTGTTCACTTAGGGCTGACTTACTATACATCATAAAAGTCCCACAGCAAATTAACAAAAGACTCCTATTTGGTATTAGTATGGCATATTAATAAACAAAACCACTACAAAGTTTAATGAGCAAGCTGAGAAACCCATTAATAATGAAGTATAAAAATTGTGGGGTTTCACATTCTGGACTAACTATTTGATAGAAAAATTATCTGTATTATATAGTGTGTTCCGGAGAGTAGATCTTTTGTATGAAAACGTGGCTACGAGGTGAAAATATAACAAATTAGTACATTAATGAGACTTATTTTAAAACTTCCTAAGAATACTGGTTATGCTATCAGTAGCAAAATAAGGTATTCAGTGAACTTAAAGCATTATGACTGCATTGAACTGAATAACTCCGCCGTCATATATGTTATGATGACGCTCATTTAACGTGAATAAAGCTGATCCCCTTCACCAAATATGTTGTAATGGAGTGCTGTGAGTTGTTGATTTCAGTCTGACTTGACTAGAATGGGCTTCCAGTCACGACACTGTAGGCACTAACTACTTGGAAATATTCCTCACACTAAATGGACACACAGAAGTCAGATGAAACTGAGGTAACTGGGACAACAACAACGACAACATATCTTGAAATATTGAGACAATGAGTTCGCAATAGTTGGAAACATTTTGATGATATAAGGAAAATGCTAATTTACAATCAGTATTTCATGGTTTCCACTGTATATACATTAAGTATCTCTATAAGTATACTTGTGTGTGTGTGTGTGTGTGTAGTGTGCGGGGAGACAGCACTACATAGCGCACATTTATTTTGCAAGACATGTGTCCGCAGGGAACTGGAAATACCACATCTACGTTTCAGTTTTTTTTTATCAGCACATGTTCCGAAAGTCTATATAGGCTTATGTAAAAATATGCATGCAATAGTCTTAAATTGTACCATCTAGAAGATTAGGAGCGAAATTTAGTTCAGCTTGGATTCACATGTACAAATATGCATTTTCACATTCAGTTATCTAGGACCATGAACTTTTAGTTGAACGTAATTACTAAAATTCTGATGCAAAAGTGCAAAAGGAACATCTCTTGTCTTTAAAAACTTTGTCCAATCATGAGTCATAAAACAAGTATTAACAAGTATAATAAACAAAATTGTATGAGCTATGATCAAAATTTTTTTTGACCTCGAACTTACAAATATTAGTCTACCTTTGTTAAACACTTTAAACACATACAATTTTTGCTTTTATATATAAATCTCTGTTATGTTAATTTCGATTAATTTCCCTGAAGAAGTTCGGAGCAGATTGACGAACGAAACGTTGGAATTAATCATTTCAATATCGCTGAGATTTTACAAATATAAATCTTAGATACAATCGTTTAACTAAAATATTTATGTCAGCTAAAAATTTTCCTATTTCACCTTTGTTTGGCGATTCCCACCAACAGTTGATTTCTTCAGAGAAGTTTTATTTGTTAGATATCACTGTTTTAATAAATTAGTGGATACATATTAGGCCACCCCATAAAAAATAATCATATTGCTCCGGTCAAGTTTTTTAGCAGTAAACATACTTGGTCACGGAACCCAAGAATAAGACAAGTTGTTTGCAGTATATATATATATATATATTATTCCCTCAGGTACGGATTGGAGGAGAGGAATCCACCTGCGATTCTCCACTTTGTTCTAATTCCCGCTTTCGCCTTCAGCTGGGTCCACGATTCACCAGACTCTCTCATCTCTTCCCCACACGAACTCTTCCATGTCACCCTAGGACGACCCACTCGTCGCTTCCCATTTGGATGGGAAGGCGATGGCAGGCTATCTTGCTTAGGATAATGACCACTAGGTTTAACTCAAAAGGAAAGAAAGTTACAATTATACAATGCTATGCACCCACAGACAACTAACACCTCAAAAAAGAGTTCTATAGGCAACAATGGGTGACATCAAAATTCTTATGGGAGACATGAACTCCAAACTGGGATAAGACAATACAGGTAGAAAACTCACTATGGGTAGAGAAGCTATTGGAGCGATGGATAAAAACGGAAAACTCTTCACTGACTTCTGCAACTTCAACAAATTAGTGATTGGTGGCAGCGTACACAAGCACAATGATATCCACAATGGTACGCGAGTGTCACTGGATGGGCGAACCAAAAAGCAAAGTGACATCATCTCAAGACTGTTCAATGAAGTGGAGACTCAGCCTACTGGACACAAAAGTGAGATGAGGAGCAGACGAGAGCTCACACCGCTATCTTGTACAAGGAACACTCAAAATCAAATTAAAAACTTTCAAGGAACCAGGAGCTGCAGACAGACCAAAAGCCAAGTTCAATACTCAAAACTGGAGGATAAGGCCGCAAAGGATATCTTCACTGCAATCATAAGGAAATAGGCGGAGACACAAATCAACACTAGCGAAGAGACCAGCGATGAAAAGTACTGGAACAGCCTGAAAGCGGTATGTAATCAGACCTCCATGGAAGTTCTAGGCAGTAAAAAGAAACAGGACAAACAGTAGCTCACTACAGATACATGGAGACTAATAGAACAGTGAAACAAAAGATTATCCAGTGAATCGACGAAAAACAAAAACAGGAGTTGAATGCAAGGTACAATACATTGAGCTAAAGAGTAAAGAAAATTCCCAGGGGAGACAAAAGCAAGTGAAGCAGAACAAGCTGCAGGCAAGGGAGACCTGACAGTGGTTAGAACTCTCGCCGATTATGCACATAGTCCGGGGTTCGAGCCCACGCCGACGCACACCTGATATCTATGGTCGGCCTGCAAAATATAGGCTACCGATATCCATGCTGAAAATTCCATACTTGTACAAAAATACAGTGTGGAATCAAGCTGTAATCAAAAACAAAATGAAACATTACCAGACAACTAGGTTCCTATCAGGGAAAGGGAATTAAACCAGTGAAGGATGACAATGAGAAGTCAATCACCCAATAGGTAGAGTTAAGGAAACACTGGACTGAACACTTCAAAAGACTTCTAAATCGACTGCCACTTACAACGCGCCCAATAATACCAATAGTGGGGGACCAGAGGCCGAAATGGGAGTGCGTAACAGAGATTAGTGGGATTTTCAAAAGAACCTATTATCCGAATAAAATTTCTCAGTCACTTGGATGGAGACAGCGGCTTTGTATCAAAATTCTTCACATCACTGCTCATCGTTTTCATAGCACTCTTTAAGTGTACCTGAAACTATGTAGCATTTTCGAAAAGTCATTGTGTAGTATAAACTGGGAAAATAAACTCACTGGTCATGCTCACAGATGACAACTTTTAAAGAGAATTAATGAGTTTGGGAATGAAATTGCCAAAATAGATCAAATTTTTCAAAAGAATTAAAACTGAACAAAGAGTACTACATCATCAGGCTCTACGGTTATACATACATTATAGCGAATGAATGAATTAGCGTTATGGACAACATGAAGTCGTGACCAGTACGGTGCAGCAGGTCGGGTGTGAAGACAAATACTCGCCGAAGACACTGGCTAGCGGTTGCGCTATATCGTGAATTGACAGAAGTTAGA